TTTTGCTTATAATAATTATAGAATGCGGTCGCACACATGCATCCATAGGACTCGATCAGACTACTAGCCTTAAACTTATGTAATCTGGCGGTCCCCCCTCTGAGCAAAGTGTGTTTGACCACTTTTCGATCCCAATCAAACTGGGGTTGTGCAACCGAAAGATAGTACATACCTAACAGGATGTCCATTGGGAGATTATCGTTGACTAGGAACGAGACGCGATCCCTCAGTTCCCCTCCCACGTATGGGAAACAACACTCAACGTCTTTAAGGTAGTCGTTGACTACCATGCGCTGTTTGTTGGCACAGGTCGACTCAGGCACTGCACTTGCCCCTGTAAGCGCAGCCTCTCAACGCACATGCGACTGATAAAGTTCCGCGTCGAGCAAGTGTCATAATAGGCCCTGACGTTGCAGTCCCCGATGACTACCTCACCGACGAACAACTCACCCTTAGGGGCTTTGGCCATAGCCGTCCAAGAAGCTAGCGGGTCTGATCTAGACCACTCCTCCTCTAGCTCCTCTAAGAACTCAAACACATTCAACGAACAGAGGATCCATGGGTCCGAATGTGTTTGTAGGACGGTACTGGAGTCAGTAGCTTGGGCCATCTTTCAAGATGGTGAGGGCGTGTCCAACACCTCGACCCTAGCAGGAACAACTACCATTCTTATTGGCCCGACGTGTTTCCCGGAGCAGTTCCAGAACTACTGGCAACATTGCTACCTATGGAAGTGGAGGATCCCGACGCCTTCCCCATTGTAGGCGGGATCTTTTCGGTCACCTTTTTGTTAAGGCACTTGAACTGATTATGGCCGTATTGGCCACAACGAATACAAGCCTGCCGGGTGTACCGGTCTCTCCACACGTCCTCACTAAGACCCGCTTTCTCCCATGGAGGAGCATTAGGGTCAACTTGACTCCTAGACCGGGAGCCGCCAAGGTGTCTACCGGTCGCCTTACCTTTTTGCACTGAGGCAGCGACTGCTCCACCACTTGAAGCCTCTACGCTGCCTGCCTCTGAACCTACTCCCTCATGGAAATTGTCGTCCAACTCAATGGTAAAACCATCGATGTCGACGAACATTATGCGACCCTTCGCCTTCCAGTTGGGAGGTAGTGCTTTCTTCCTACCATCCGTCGTGGGTTGATGACCATGCCCCATCTTTGCTTCCAGGTCTAGGGCCTTCTTGCTAAACGAGGGAAAATTGTGCACATTGATGCTAGCCTCACCCGCTAACTGATTCCTGAGTGGCATGGGAAGACACCTCAGGTAAGTGGTCAGTAAGACTTGGGGGTCGTAACGCACTCCAGGTACACAGATCAGACGCTCCACCACGTACGTGGCATCCCTTATTGACTTGAACGGTCTATTGCTCAAGGTCAGGATAGCATCAGTGACCTTTCAGGCCTCCTGAGGATCACGCCACCTTTCCTCCACCACCTTAAGGAAGTCCTCAAGTTTCTGGTTGACTGCCCAAGCGTGGAAGTCATGTTCGTACCCCTGTAGTTGTACTAGCCCACTTAACCATCTTGTTGCACTCCCCTCCAAATAAGAGGCAGCCACAAGCACTTCCTCGTGCGGCAAGGTTAACTTACACTTCATGTAGACTGGCACTGACCTCAACCATGTGCTAATCATGTAGACTGGCACTGACCTCAACCATGTGCTAAGGTCTTCGCCCCTCTTATCCCCTGAGAAGGGTTTAGGGGAGGCGATGGATGTCTTTGGAACCCACTGGCCTTGTCCCGGTACCTCCGCACCAGGTTGTGGACCCTGGGGCGTAAGCTGCTGCACTAGCTGCTGTTGGGGTTGTGTGCCCTGCGGCTGTGCTGGCTGCGAGACAGCAGGCTGCCCAGTTACGGCAGTCTGCAGCGGAGGTTGGGAATACACTGTCTGTACGGTAATCTGTACACTAGGACCTGCTGAGAGCCCGCCTGTCAAAGGCATACCTAGGGAAACGGTTTGGACCAATGCTGGAGAAACTATGTATGGGAATACTCCAGTCACCGGTGGGACAAAAGGAGGAGGTTGTACCACAGGCCAGGCACCAGGCCCTGATGGTGATGGTGCTACTTGAACTCACCCGGACAACACGGCCAGGCTCTGCTGGATGTCCTGCAAGAGTGTAGTGTGATAGTCCTGCATTTCCACTACATCTAACAGGGCTGTTCTCACTACTCTCACATCATCATCTATGTGAGTCAAGTCCATCTCCTCTAACTCTCTACGGTCTGCTTGTCTCTGCTGCATCCTTGTCCTACTTTCTGCCTCTATCTCTCCTAACGCCTTTTGTAGTTGTGCCTCTTGAGCATCTGCTCTCTGTATGGCGATCTCCTCGGGAGTCAAAACTAATGGCTGGCTTGCCATATCGCTAGTGGACTGACTCAGGGTCTCCGCAGTGGTCACCCCTACAGTTCCTGAACTATTGGTTTGGCAGCTCTGCTGCGCAGCAGTGGCCATGGCTGCTGAAGTAGCTGCCTCGCTTGCCTCTGCGGCCCTAGCCCTCCGCTGCTGCTGCCGTCTCTCTCTCTGTTGGCGGAACAGGAACCTGTCACCCTCTGGTCCTAATGCCAAGTGGGCTATCGGGCGCCTTGCGGATCGCAGGATCCTATCGTCCTCTCTAGTGTCCTCCCTGTCGCTCATAAGCTACAAAACTGCACACAATCTGCACTAGGTCACACTCGATGCCTACCGCAGTGTAGTGCACAAACCAATTTAAAATAAATAAATAAATAATTGGTGGTTGTGTCAGAGTCTATACATTTGGGGTCCAACAGGTAAGTCCAGATTCCTACAAACGAAACTATTTTACTTGGACTAGTCCGCAAACAGAAAAGTAAATGAGCAAAAAATGTTTCTACCTATGCTGTCTGACAGATGTTAATGGTCGTCCATCTAACTAATCAAATTAAAAATAGAATCATTTGTTGGGCCTGTTGGCAGAATGGAATTTTCTCGAACTTATCAGTTGGAATCCACCCCTCCCTCAATTCTTCCTAATTGTCTCTTGACGTCAGCGTCTCTGAGCGATCCAGATAGCGTGTGTGTCTAAAGGTGTGCACACAGCCCACCCCTGTGCCCCGAGTGTATGCTGAGCTGGCCAGCCCTGCACGATGTTTACCCTCGCGTGCAGCGAGCCTTACACCGACCGATTGGCTGATCAAGAGGCGTTTGAGGACGGCCCCCGGAGTCCTCAGGAACTATTTAACGTCGCAGACAGGACGATGATCACAACCAAAGGAAGGTACCCCACGGGAACTTATTTATAGACGCCCGGTACTCCTCTCCCTGGTAGGGCTGGCCTGCCCCTCATCACCCATCTATCAGCGCAGCGAGCAGACAAAGGACAAAATAGCAAAGCATGCGTGCTCTACTCCGGTGGGTTGGCATGGTGACCGTGACCCAGTGCTTCGTCCAGGGCCCTTCAGATAGCTCCTCCCTCTCCTTCCACATGCTCCATGCGAACAGTGCCGACTCTCAAGGTTGAGCGCACTCGACTCCTCACACAAGAGGACTCTCAAGACAGAACACACATCCTCACGGTAAGAAGTGTTGACGAGGGTGGATAAGGTTAAGAGCAACGTACCTCAAAATAGCTGTCCCCAACCACAAATATTCTCACCACATGACCTGATGCCGATTGTGATGACCAATCGCTGCTTCGGCACAACCAGCATTACACCCCCGTTCCACCTCAGCATCAATCTCACATCAGATAGTTCTCATAACACTGCGAACACCCATTAATCACCACATAGCCTTTCTGGCGATACCCCTCTCCTCCTGGGTCGCCTGATTGCCTTCGCCCTCCTCACTACACACTCCCTACGGCTGCTCACCCAGCAGACCGCATGTATGTACCGCATAGGCAGAAGACAAGCGCCAGATTAACGCACCGTACCACAGCTCCGATACCAAATTGCAAGGAAAATTAGTGATAGCAAACTTCAGAAACCAAGCAGCATCATACACATGAGACCAGATAGTCGTGACCTCGAACCAAAAGCAGAATTGCAACACGAGTTCCACCAAATAAGAGCACAGCAAAAGCTCATAAGTGACAATGCTGGAATAGTCGCATCATCATCAACAAAGAACCAATGTCGACATCCTATCTGGTGCTCCGCACCCAAACTACAAATGGCAGATCCTATCTAGCCTATCTACAATGCCGCTGGTGACGTCAACAGCTCCCCGAAGTACGAGCAGATCTCGGCCAACGCCGTTCGCCTCAAGCACCAGGTATGTCTCTCATATCACTCACAACCCACTCACAGATGCCACATGCACCCAAGGACCACCATGCGCCCCATCCAGCATAGTGCAACGCAGCTCGGCTATGGCTGCCTGCTCATCCAGCTCGCCCGTGAGCGCGTGAGCGCTGGCCAGCGTTAAGTGCAGCAGCGCTTGTGCAGCATGCAGCCGTCCCCGAATCTGGAGGCAGGCCCTTTCCTAAATAGAAGTGGCCTGCCTGCTGCGGGCGGCAACGCTGTACTGGGCCCCGGCCCAGACGCTTCCGGTAGGCCCCGAGAGGCTGAGCCTCGGACCAAACGAATAAGGCCCAGGGCCTGTGGTGGTTACCCGTGCCCAACTGCCCGCAGCCTGTGTTTGGTCCATGTTGCGTATCTGGCCCAGGGCCTGCCTCAGTTACATACGATAGAGGCAGCCTGGGCCTTGGCGCTGCGCAACTGCCTGAATTTTCCCCAGTTGCGTGGTCCAAAATAGGCCTAGGTCGGGCCTGCCTTCACTTAGGGCGGCCGACCTTGCTGATAACAGGGCCCAGTAGGGCTTACGGAGGCCTTGTGCCTCGCAGAAGGATGGGGGAAAGGGTAGATAGACAGGCAGTAGGATGGTATGGATGGATGGATGAATATACAGATGGGTTGTTTGCCTTGCGTTTGATGGAGGGGTCATATGGTTCTTTGAATGGTAGATGTCGGATAGACAAAAAGGACATGGGTGATGATGGGTCATATGGATCTTTGTCTTGCCCTTGCCTGAATTATCGACAGTGAGTTGGCATCGGCAAGGTGCACAATGTGGATGCTTGCCCCTTCTGCCTCCCTGCCCTTCTTAGTTGACTCTCCCACTTCAATCAGCTGCCTGATTGCAGCATTCTCCCTAAGAACAGGCACAAATGAACATTTGACATCAAGAACGACAACGTGCACAGCCACACACACAGACACAACACACAGACACAACACACAACAACACACAACAACACACACATCCGCCACGCACCTACAATTAATTGCCACAATACTCCTGTGAGGCCGGGAAGGACCTCCTCCTCACGAGTCCTCAGAAAGCATTCTCCATGGGAAATGATACATGAAGAAAGCGAGGCGTACAGGAACTAGATAACCCTGGCGGCATTGATACGCCAGGCGCGTATCAAGTGCGTACCTTACCCCCTTCTTCTGCAGACAGTGCCAGCATACAACCGCACCCATGTCGGACACAAATCTCTCCACCTCCTGTGACCACATACACCCACCTTCCTTCCTATTCAAGCAGCGCACAAAACAAAACACATCTTTCCTTTCCCAGCCATCGATCTATCATCTTACCCTTTTTTTTTTTTTCTTTACAGTTTTTTCATCGTCTCCTCCGCGCTTCAGGCCAATCCACCACAGAGCTCACTTTTTTGCCCGTGAACACACGATGGAAAGACGCAATGAACCAGACACAAACCGTACACAAACCAGACACAGACCAGACTACAAACCAGACAAAAACCAGACACAAGAACACACGACCGAAAGACACAAACCAGACACAAACCAGACACAACAAGACCACATGCTGGAAAGACGCAACAAACCAGACGCACACTGTCGTCGCCAGAGCCTTGCCGTGCCATCGGCAGATAGCACAACCTGCAGCAGGCGACACCAGTGTTTTCTTGGCACGCTGTCCAACACCCCAGACACACAAAAGTTAAGTCTGGCAGCCAGTGGCAGGTCAAAAGAGAATAATTAAATTAAAATTTAAAAACCAAATCAAGAGGCTTATCCTAACTTAATCCTAAGATCGTAGTACTATAGTAGTCAATACGTTAGCCATATATATATTATATAATATATAATATATATCCACACGAAACAAATTGATTCACTTTCACAAGTTCTGACTGTTTTATTACAAAGCATGGGGCTCACCAGGAAGGTTCATAGTAATTTCATACTAAGAGTTACTACCTTCTTCCCCCTAACATAATGCATATGCATTGTATTTGAGTTTTAAAAATTTGGGAATTCAAATAGAACGCATAAGCGTTGTATTTGAAAATAAGGGCTGTTAATACCTTTCTCGGCCTTTTGGCTAAGTCAGATCGAGTGCACTGTATCTGTTCTGATCAGTTTAATTATCATCTGATCTGTGGTCCATCGGACCACACAATATTAAATTATTGGCCACGGAGGGGTCATATGGGTAAGCTTGCTTACTCGACCTCTCCAGGAAAAAAAAAAAAAAGGGCTGTTCGAATCGAACGCATGTGCATTGTATTCGAATAGAAAGCAACCTATGCGTTATATAACTTGTATTCGTTTACAACACATATGCGTTATGTTCGGGAGAAGACGGTAGTAGTCAATACGTTAGCCATATATAATATATATAATATAATCCATGTGACACAAATTGATTCACCTTCACTGTTTTACAAAGCATGGGGCTCACCAGGAATGTGGTCTAGATTTCAGGTATGTTTCATACGCCCTCGGATCCTCCAAGCGAAGTGGTTCCTCTGTTGCATGGGTGGAAGGAGAATCTTCACTTGATATTGTTTGCGGGAGCTCAGCATGAACAAGCAGAGGTCGTTTGTGCTTTGCCAAAACTGGCAATGCTGCCTGCGACCAAACACATCCACAGAATTAAAAATTTTAAATCAGGAGTTCAAAGCTCAGAAAACTTAAGACAAATACGAGATACGACCCCAACGGGGGCCCTTCCAGATGCAGCGCCCACCAAGGTGAAGAAGATGGCATCCGTCATAGCCAGGTAAGTACCCCTGGCGCTGCCCTCTCCTAGTCCCTTCTTCCTCCTCCTCCTACCCGAGCTCCTCCACCATAACCGAGGTGGAGAGCGGGGCGCCCTTCTTCCCCACACAGCGCTGCACACTAGCGCTGCTCCTCCAGCGCTCCAGCAGTGTGACGTCCAAACTTGCACACAGCAAAACGAGGAGGAACTCTTTGCTCTTCCTGGAGATATAGCGGCCAACTTGCCTCTTGGGCGGCGACTTCCAGGACGCACGGCCTCCGAGCAACCGGTACCTCCTACTTTTCAGAGGGAAACATCATTGCAGACTCTGATATCGCCTGTATCGCCCGTACAGACCCTAGACGCAGACTACTTGGACTGGTACCCGCCTAGACCTAGCCTACAACTACTGGGCCTGTAAGAATGCCACCTTTTTGTCTTCGTCTGCTCGGCCTCCAGTCCCCGACACATCTACTGCTATGTGAGTGGTACCGGCCTACCTGCTACTTGAGTGTTTTTCCCCGCTGCTCTGAGTGCCGTGGGCCTACTCCCCCTACTTGAGTGCTTTCCCCGCTGCAACCCTCAATGTCACGGCCACAGGTAAGTACAGGCCCCACGGGGCCTTCCAAGCAAGCAAGTACCCTTGCGGGTCCCACACACACTCAAGCCGCCAAGCACTCAGACAGGCATGCAGACCAGCAAGCACGCACACACACAGACTTAGAAAACTCAGCAGAAAGCGGGAAGGGAATCTCAGCAAGGGATTCATTCTAGCGGCAAAACTCGAAAACGGCAAAACTCAGAAATCAGCTGTGTGTCTCAGTCCGTGTTTTGGGCAGGTCCTTGGACTTGCCAGTTTTGTTTTTTGCATTTATTTATTTTTATTTCAGTACAGAAAAAGGAAAGGTTGACGTGAGCCTGCATATTCTCCAAATATTCCTGCGAAACGGGGGGTAGAGTCCGTAGACTGGAAATATAGGAAAGGATAATCTGGCTGGACATACATAACATTAATCGAGTTGTCTTCCAGGGAAGTTGTCTTCCAGTCTCCTAGATCATATAGAGTGTATTTTGCTAGAAGCTGAAAGTTATTACCTAGACACCAATTTCCAAGACATTATATAATACTCTATGCATTGAAATTTGCTCGCATGCATTACTGTGCATGTGTTATCACTACCTAATGTTTAAGGCAGAGAGAGAGAGAGAGAGAGAGAGAGAGAGAGAGAGAGAGAGAGAGAGAGNAGAGAGAGAGAGAGAGAGAGAGAGAGAGAGAGAGAGAGAGAGAGAGAGAGAGAGAGAGAGAGAGAGAGAGAGAGAGAGAGAGAGAGTTTTGGAGGGGTTTGGACAGACCTTGATATGCTGTGAATTGAGTTTTGGAGGGGTTTGGACAGACCTTGATATGCTGTGAATTCGTTTGAGGAAAGTCGTTAATCCCTGAAGGACACATAAACGACTGCAGAAAACAAAGAATCTCAGTCAGAAAGCAGGCAAGCGACCCAATCCAAGCGAGATGAATAAATAGTAAATAGTCTGATAAGGTCACCCAGTTTGCACACCACCAAGTTGCCACTGATATTTCCAAGGCTGTTCAAGTTCAATGCAATGAACCCAGACAGATGAGAAGCTCACGAATGTTGTGATACAAGTCCAACTCAGCATAGCAAGAATGTCTCCAAAAATCGTTCATGTATCCATGCCCAAAGTACATGCGATCTCCCAATGTCTCGAACCTCGGAGAAGAGGGTGAGAGACAGGGGAGAAGAGACAGAGAGGAGGAGGAGGAGGAGGCGAGTTCCCACAAGAGCAATAGTCCCTCCCCTTGCCCGCTTCCTCCTCGGGCATTTCCCTCTCTCACCACGTCAGCAATACAGTTCTCCTCTGACGATCTCTGGCATACACAATGAACGGGTCACAACAGAGCGCCCATCTTCCATCCATGTCAGCAGCAATCAAGGAGGATGGCAGAGATCTTTTTCTTGGAGACGACCACCAAAGCGCACACGACGACGTCACAGGTAAGTCCAGGTAAGCATTCCTCAACACACACATCAATCTCAACCAGTCCAGATCCTCCTCCTCCTCCTCCTCGCCCACACTTCTATCACTGTGGAAATCAATGTGACCAAGACCACGGCGGCATAATCTCCCTCAAGGGTGGGGACCACACTCAGAATCTGGCGCTACCGTCTTCACCCGAATAGAACGCCTGGTCATTATAGCTGTATCTGGCACAACTTTCAGCCCAGATGCGACGATAATTACCGGGCGTTCTATTCGGGTGAAGACGGTAGCATAAAGCTCCAGCAACCTTGTGTCGTCACACCAGCAACAAACCAAGCGCAAGGCTGAATACTTTCCAAGCAGGGGCTGGGTCAACTTACAGTGTTCGACTTAGATTGACCAGCCTCTGGTCTCCTGGGGTCGACGGCCCAGATCAATCAGAAGCCAATGGCCTGGATGATGCACAGTTGCAGATTTCCCACGTGTCCCCACGTGGACCGGATTCTTCTGGATACCTGCAGACAGCCAATGATGTGCATCTGATTTACGGCCGTGGCTGTGACCAGCGGGTTGACTTTGACCTCTGGGCCTGGATTCCCGTGCTGGGGTTGACCGTTGACTTTCTCAAAGTCAACTGTTCCTTGTTGGGCCTCTGAATGCTGGTTTTGCCCCCCCCCCTGGGTATACCCCTTGGCCTTAGGCTTTTGCCCAAGGCTTTTCTTAGACTGAGGGCGTGACTTTTGAGTCTTCACCCCCGTGTGTGTCAGGCCTTTGACCAAACGTGACGACCTAGGGCCCACACACAGCTTTTGCAGATTTGAGCCAAGCGGGTTATTGCATTCAACAAGTTCCTATTGTTAACAAGCTCATCCAGCTTTTTATTTAACCTGCTCGATACTAGTTTTCTTCGACACTAAGACTCACTCATAGGACATCGCCCTCTTCAGGTGCAAGCACATTCAGGACTATTCAACAAGTTGCTACGGCTACCACAGTCCGGGCTATTCAGCAAGTTGAGACTGCTATTCAGGGCTATTTTCAACAAGTTGCTTCAGGTGCAAGATCATTTAGGGCTATATTTTTTCAACAAGTTGCTGCTGCCATTCAGGCCTATTCAGCAAGTCGATTTGGGGCTTATTCTACAACTTGCTACTGCTATTCAGGGTTATTCGACATATTGCTACTGCTTTTTATTTCGAAAAAGGAAGGGTCAGCGGCCTTGACGCATCAGCGGGG